CCCCCCGTCCCCCGTCCCCAGCCTCTTTGAGGCTAAATAGCAAATATTAAAGATATTTACTTTTGTTATTGACATGATTGTTTTCTGTTGTTTTTGTTATTCAGTTGTTTGTCATTTGTTCTTGTTTGCTTTTTTAAACACTGTTTAATCACCATGTACACAAAGGTTTCAGGCAGTGTTTTATCCCAAATGATGACGACTTTGAAATGACCAGGCCACAATTTCAGTTTCAATTTCTTTCATTATTGTTGCAGCCACACGGTGAGGAGAAGAACGGTGAGGAAGAGTGAGGTGAGGGAGATGCCGTCCCTGCCCAGGGGGGGCAGCGATGAGCTGGTGCGAGACGAGCAGGTCTCCAGTAGGAGGGTACGACACAGCAACAGTTAGCATGTTTGAGCGTGTGTGTGTGTGTGTGTCGGTGTTTACATGCATGATCTTTACCAATAGAACCCTCTCAGCGGCTATAACATGAAGTGTGTGTGTGTGTGTGTGTGTGTGTGTTTACAGAGACAATTAGAAGACTATTTGAACAAGTTGCTGAGGATGGCCTTGTACCGCAAATATCACCACACTGTGAGTAAATGTACTGAGCACTGCAGCCTCTAACAACACTAACTAACTAACTAACTAACTATTGAAACAATAATATTTATAGTCTATAAGGACAGGCTTTCAATGCCACTAATTATACAACAGTCCCAGTCTGTTAATTAATGTACACAACAGAAAAATAAAGTATTGCATCGTGCTACAATAATCGAAGTATTAGTTATTTTTTAACTCTATTTACATGTGGATTTAAACAACTGACATATCACATCTGTAAATAACTTTGACATAAAACTCAAGTATTAAATTGCAAGTATTCGTATATAGTACTAGTAGGAAGGCAACCAAAATAAAAACTACACGTTACATAAAAGATGACCAAACTGAAGGTAAGTCAATGATGAATTTGAACAAACAGAAGAAAAATCTTTAGTAACAGAAATCTTTAGTAACCGTAGAAATATGGGTTAGACTTCAATTATAAGCTTTGGCAAAGAAATAAAATACAGCCTACAGATGACTAAACGTTAGCTGAAAAATAGTCAAAAGAAAATTAAAGATCAAAGATTCTACTAGATGATCAAATACACTATAAGAGACAATGAAGTTTAGCCTGTATTTATATTAAACCATTATCATTATTATATCCTGTGTAGTAGAGTATGTCCTTGAGACCCAGGCTACTGTGTTACTACAGATATGTACATTCAGATAAAATATTTTATGGACATTTCTTCCAACAAATTGGTCCCGACTGCACGAATGTAGAATGAAAGATATGGTTTGATGAAGACGAGAACACAGTGAAGGCAGTGTGTGGATGCAGATCGCTGCCATGTTTCCTCCTAACGCTGTCTGTTCTCAGATGGAGTTCATTGATGTCAGCCAGATGTCCTTCATTCATGACCTGGGCCCCAAGGGACTGTGAGCGCCTCCTCCTCTTTTACTGGTTTTCACTACACTTTTATCAGTGTTCCGTCTGAGACAGTAACTCAGGACGGAGCAAAGAAAAGACTGGAGTTGGAGCGTCTTCACGTTCCTCTCTGTTTGTGTCTGTGCTGCAGGGAGGGCATGATCTACAAGCGCTCAGGAGGACACCGTATCCCTGGGATGAATTGCTGTGGTCAGGGTAAAGCCTGCTATCGCTGGTCCAAACGGTGTGTGTGTGTGTGTGTGTGTGTGTGTGTGTTTACGACATTCTCTGTGTGTAACTCTTTACCCTGTCCACGCTCAGTTTGGTTTCTATTTCTTTATTTCAGAAGGTGTTGGACTTAACTGAAAAATGTTAAGATACATTTGTCCGCTGTCTCAGCTTTGAAAGATTTGATCAACAAATACAATATTTCTCTGTACTTTGTGTACTGTGTTCAGATTTCTTTGAACTCACAAAAATTCAAACACAGACATGAAAAAAAAAGAATTCGAAAGCGAAAGATTATTAGTTCATTATTTTGAAAAAAAAAAAAGTCTATATTTAGGTACTCTGTCAAAAGTATTTAAATAAAACAACATTTTAACAATCTGATCTCTGGGAACAACGCTGTACTCTGGAATTAGAATAAACACACACACACAAAAAAAGAATTCTAAAAAATATTTTTTTTTTCTCCATATTAAAGTAAAACTCCAAATGATGGAAATAGTCAGAAATCTATAAGAATTTGCTGCTCATGTTTCTCAGTAACATGACAACATTGATCAATTGTTTTATTGAAAAGAAAAGAAAACCACTGAGAAGTGTAGGTGTTAAGGATGTTGTTTTCTAATGAATAAAGGTTTGAGTGTAGGTGTTGTGAAAATGTGGGAAAATGTGTTGTTTTTGGCAGTGACATGATTTTTTTTCCTGGTAAACTCACAGTCAGCTTCACTTGCACATGTTTGACTCCACAATTTTTCATGTCAGCCAAATTATTACGTGAGCGCTTGTCTTTATTTTCTAAAATACATAACACAATATCCTCCTACATCCTGATGGTCCTCAACCTCAAATTACATTTGGAATTATTTGAGAAATGTAAGAAAAGGAACATAGGAGGGATAGGTGAAGAATGAAAATGATGACTGTAACTGGATGTAAAGATGACATTGGTCTGTGGTATTTGTGCTGTTTCAGCTGGTTGGTGGTGAAAGACTCCTGTTTGCTGTACATGAAGCCAGACTCTGGAGCCATCTCCTTCGTTCTTCTGGTGGATAAAGAGTTCAGCATCAAGATGGATTCTAAAGAAACAGAGACCAAACATGGAGTTCGGGTCGACAGTCTATCCAGGTAATTCTTATTATAATAATAAAAAAAAAAATGCTATATTTATATATAAACACAAATACATGTATATATACATATGTATAGTTATATATATATGCATATATATGTATAATAGTTTCACTCTCACTTCAAAACTATTTTTAGGTCACATCATCGGGGCGAAACCCAGGCATTGCATTATCGGGTTTTCATTATCGCAGGAAAAAACGCTAATGATTCTTACAGATATTACATAATTAAGCTAATATCAGCCAATACATCACTAATATATATATATATATATATATATATATATATATGTGTGTGTGTGTGTGTGTGTGTGTGTGTGTGTGTGTGTGTGTCCATATATAAAGATTGTACAAAGTTAGTAAGTAATTAAAAGTAAAGGGCTACATGTAGGCTTTAAGATTAAAAAGGTTATTCCAGAAATAATGTTTTGCAGCTAACAAAAAGGTAGCCACAATGCTACCAAAATCACTGTAGAAAACAGAACAGTGCACAGTTGGCTAAAGGTTAGCTAGATCAGCTTGTTTTACACTAAACTTGAGTTACACACAACCAGATAAGGTGCCCACTACTGTAACATCTAGCAAAAAATATATTGATGTTATACATGTATGTCTACAAGGTGTAGCGTTGCCAAGAAATTGCTAAAAGTCACCATGGAGTTTGGATATGATTAATGGCTGCAATAGCCTGTAGCTGTTAGCTACACAAATGGCTAAAAGTCAAATTAACTGCAGTGCCTGTCACCCAATAGTTGGAGCAGAAAAACATGATCTGTTAATGAAAGTGAACCTGTGCCTATTTGTTTCTTTTTGTGTTTTGTTGTGGCCCCTCCCTGTAGGACGCTGGTGTTCAAATGCAGCAGCTACAGACACGCCCGCTGGTGGGGTCAGAGCATCGAGAGCTTTGTGAGGGACCATGGGAAAGCCTTCCTGCGGGATCATCGCTTCG